CCACCCGTACTCGCCCCGCTGAGCCGCTCCATCTCCTCTTGGTGGTAGGCAGCGTAGCTTTGAGGGGCGGCGTGGCGACGACGTGCTGGGTTTCTAGCTGCTCGTCCGCTTCCGATTCGTGGGGGCTGGGGAGGGAACATGGTGGGTGGAGGGAGGTAGATAGAGGTTGATAGAGGGGAGTTGGGTGTAAGATCTGCCACTGCAAGATCGAGGGATTCTTCTGCTTCGATGGCTTGGATCTTGACGCTGTTCTGGGAATGTGATGATGGGACTTGGAAAACGGCAAAGTTGATATATAAAAAAAACGTAAAAGACCTACGAAGATGGACTCTTGCCTACTTTTATGAATGCAGCCACCGGCGATGTGCTGTGCTGCTCCTTTCGCATCCTTCTTGTGGGCGCTTAGCCAGCCTTGTGGTCGGTGGTGTCTGGTTTCTTTGGACGAAGTTGCCTGAAATATGCAAAGAGTGTGCAGGAGTCTATTCGTCCTATGATCAGGATGAGGGCGCAGTGCATAGATGTGTTGTTAGGCAGAGTGTCTGAGATGCAGCTCATAGCCAGCTTCGTTGCGTCCAAACCAGTCCTACCTATCACGAAGATGTCTTCCAAAGACCAATACTCAGCCTCAGTCCCGTCTCTTCTAGAACAATACACCTCTCCCTCCCATCTTCTACAGAATACCACCCACCCACATTCGACGGCGTTTTATATCATAATATAACCAGCCATAACAACCACTGCAGTGCAGTGCAGTGCAGGAGTGGATTGCTTCCTTCACTTCTCCTAGTCTACCATCCCCACTTCCCCCTGCACATTCACATGCAACCACGTGACACCACACCCAACCGATCCTTCCGTGGAGAAGCAATAAAGCATCCTTGGCAGTGCGGAGGCGGGAACGGAGAGCGGACCTTGTACCCCGCCGCTTGCGCCACACCCAATCCTTGGCAGCTACGGGGAATTACATCAGCAAGGGAGAGACAGAGGACACAGGCATGGACGTTGACAGGAGACAAGGGANC